ATCTGAGCTTTCTTAGAAGGTGACAGATATTCCCGCCCATAATTCAAAAGGGGGTAAAAGGAGATTCTTTATTTTTTCTTATCGTTACTAATTTTAATTTAGAGTTTTCAATGGCATGCCTTTGGATTTGTGGGGTAGTGATAGTTTTATTTTGTCTCCTATTTTGTGGAGCATTTTGTGCTTAAAGTCTTAAGTAGGGTGAAATTGTAAATTATAATAATTCAATTATGTGGTCAATTTGAGAAGTGCTACTAGTGGATCATATTAGTTTAGTCGTGCGGTTGGGAATCAAATCCTTCATATCGATACTCTGCTCCAGATCAATCATTACATAAGCTTGTTGATTAAACTTGAGTTGCTAACTTAATAAATCAAACCTTATTGATTTTTAGTTGGATATATTGAAAAATTAATTTACATTCTAATAGCTTGCTTAATACATGATTTATTTGTAGAAATAAATTTTATAGACCCATTGGATGACTCCTTATGGATACATATAAAAATTGATGCATTAATAATTCTGATGTCATATATATCATATATATTGTTTATAAATCTTATATCGATTGATGTTGTAGCTGCAATTAATGTAAAAGGTGTATTTTGTCCAATGTAAAAGGTTTTATATAACTAAATTGAATTAGTTAAACTAAACTCTTAAGAGATATTTTAAAGCAATGTTTTAAATATCTTACCAATAATTTTTATCGGCCGAGTCCACGGTATGCAGTTCAACCGCTTCAACCAATTTTATCGGTTCAACAAATTTCACCGTCTATGTTACCAATTTTGATAAATATTAAATTAAGTTATTTATTATAATATAGATAATTTAAAAAACTAGCTTTAATGAATACTAAAATTAATTAATGTCTAATAACAGCGCAAACATATTATTAAAACTAAGAGTAGAAGTTTCAATTTATATAAATAAATTAATTAATATATTTTAAAATTATTATTTTTTTAAAAAATTGGTACAAACTGGTATCTTGGCTTTTATTTACCGGTAAAACTGGTATTTTTCAGTATGAAATCGGTATAAACTGGAATTTTGACAAAATTGTAGTTAGAGGGCAACGGTATCGGCCAGACTACCGGTATCTGGTAATACCAACCAGTACGGTACGATATTTAAAATATTGTATTAAAGTTCATACTAAACTTAAACTATGTCTGATGCAAATTAATGTGTTGTTGTACATTGATCGTACTTTGCAAAATTGACAATTCAGGTCGCAAAAATAACACTCCCCCTCTCCTTCCCACATGGCACCACGATTTTTATGTACTTCACATATGGTATGTGATTAGCATGTCGTACACGAGGGATGGGATATTTTTGTTCCATAATAATGTGTCAATTCTTATTTCATTCCATTGGATGATGAACACGCGTGACATCACGATTATAGACGTGTCTATTATATAACGTAATGAAAAATGGATGGAAACATTCGCTATATGAAAATGAACAACGGAGTTCTAACGAAAATATATTTGAATAGAATTCCAACGAAAATATTACGTTAAATGAGTTTTTCATTAAAATTTCAGTTGGATTTTAACGATAACAACGATAGATTTGCTTACATTTGAAAAATCGATGAAAATTGAAATTTCAACATAAATTGCATATTTCAACGAAAACTCTTACAGTAATAAACGGTAGGAAAAATGGCTGTTGAAATCATCTTAACCAACTAAGTTCCAATAGAAAATTCATTGTAACACAATATTTTTGTTAGAATTCTAATGGAAATTATATCATTGGAATATTCATTGAACTTTTTATTAGATATCTCTACAAAAAAATTGTTATATTCCAACGGAAAATTCTATGGTAATATATTCCAAATTTCAACGGATATTCCAATTGTATAGCTTCCGTTGGAGTTATTCCAACAGAAATCCAACGAAAATGATCCGTTGGAATGTATTTTTTATTGGAATTTTAAATGAAATTTGATGATTCCAACGGCTTTTAACCGTAGGAATTTCTGTTGGAATATGAAATTTTCGTTGGAATTTTTATTTTCATCACCGTTGGAAAATCTACTGGAATCGTGAAAATCCAACAGAATATTTTTGTTGGAATTTCCATTGGAATAATTCCAACGGAAATAATAGCATTGAAATATCCATTAGAATTGCCATTGGAATTTTATTGAAATATATTTCCGTTGTAATTTCATCATTCTCTTGTAGTGTATTACTATATTAGATTTTCCTTTGAAATGTGATAATCTTTTCTGTAGTGATAATTTTAAAACATGAAATCCTTTTCCCATACATCACGCATTCTTGAAATTTGGTTGGTAGATACATTTTTTTTTTTCAAACGACAAACAAATATATTACTAGAAAACTCAAAAAGAGTACAGAGGCGATGTCAACTGACACCAAAGAACCAGATAACTGGACTTACCCTCTTGAACATCCGGAGGAATTCAAGAGGTACAACTCCAACAAGGAGGCAACCGCAACCCAAAACGAAATTCCACAAAGGGAAACTAAACTCCATAAAGGAGATAAACCAGACAAGCTGGACTAACACACAAAAACATAAATAAAAAACACACACCTAATGTACAAATAAACTAGAACCTCCCCTACACCTAATCAACTCGATGCCTAACCACCCGGGACCGCACACGATCCACATCCACAAGCAAAGAGATCCAACAAAACCACAAATCGGAAAATATATTGATGGGTATTTCTGCCACAATTAAATGTGACCAAATCTCTATTGGACCTGATGAAGCTTACATAGGAAAATATAGTCTTTGCATTAATTATAAGTCATATGTCTCACATGGAATTTAAAGGGCAATTAATTAGTAACTCCATCTCTGGTTTTAGGTGTAGAATCTATTTATATTCTACGCGCAATGAGCCAATTGATATTGAATTATTGATGTAGAGTTGGTATTTTGTTTTCAATTTTAATTCGGAAAAAAATTAAAGCCAAGTGGTTCTGGTCACATTTTTTTTTGATATTCGACTGATCTTAATCATGATGCTATTGTTCTTTTTCTTACCTCTAAATTAGCTCATTAATTAATTAACTGCATGGTCATAAATTCATAATGCCCACCAGAATTTTCTACGTTCAATAATATTTCAGCATTGTTTAATCTTTTCCACCCATGCGGCCTAAATCAATTGATTTAGGTATTATCCATTATATCATATATTTTAACAAGTATTAGCATGTCCTACGTACGTGATAACGTTACTTTTAGATTGTAGTGTAGGAATAATATGTGATGCTAATAGATAGAGGATCTTGATTGGATAGTGACAACAGAATAATATGATCGATCATAAGATATTTAGTTATAGGTATTATGGAAAAAAAAATAAAATAAACATTTTAAAGTAACTTTTAATATTTACCACGGTCGTTAAAGTAATGATTCTATAGTCTCTCCTATCGGATCAAATTGATCTGTGAAAATCTGATAGAAGGACTAAATGCTTCAACAAAGAAGAAAAAATTTGGAAAATTGTCTAAGAATTCGGTGGATATTTCAAAAAGAGGTAGACCCATTATTTTGTTTTTGTTTTTTTTTTTTTTTAAGNTTTTTTTTTTTTTATTAATTTTTATTATACTACTTATTTAAAAGGCAACTCACTATAGTACCATGTTAGATGTGACCCTATTGAGTACTGATGGTCAAAAAGATAGCACAGCCTCACACAGGAAATGTTGAAAAGCACAAAGATACGTCAATCACATGTAAAAGTTATTTAACGTGATTCAAATATATGCTTCCACCCTTTAAGATTAGTCAAGATTAATGATTACATATATGTTTATACAGTTGGATTTGTAGAAATTAATTAAAAGTTACTGTGGAACGGAATCTGTGAATAATGCCAATGCACGAGAGCTGCATAGTATGGTTTAATAATAAGAAGCATTAATCAAGTTACTATTTAAGCGATTAGTTACATTTAATATTTATGCTGGTCTCATAGTAGAATATTATACTATGACTACATACTATAGTAAGATACTATCGGCGTGAAACTTTTTTTCATTTTATGTTTGGACTCCATTAAACAAATGTTTGGTTGTCCATAAAAGAGAAAAAGATTAAATCACTAGTTAAACATTCAAAAGATTAATTAAGAACTGTTTATAAAAATTTGTTTTTGTAAAGATTTTACATTAAATTTTGTAAATGAAAGATTTAAAAAAATCCTTAATTAATTTTAAGGTGAATGAGAAATTTGGACATGGAAAACATGAGTTTTTATAGTACAAAATTGAATCTAAGTAGCTCAAAAGTGGGTTGAAGCAGAAACGAACAAGTTCGGGTGAACGTGCATTGTTGGGCGCCTGTAGGTGTTGTAGGTGTTGTGACTGTTTCGACCAAAGATGTCTATGTTTATTGTGTTTTTGTGCTTATTTTCGTGTATTTTATGTGCTTTAGTTTAGCCTTGTTAGGATCGTTTTAGTGTTGACCGGTCCATTTTATCGTGTTTTGTGTGTTTTCATGTCTTTCTTTTTATTTTATATTTTTGGCGTACTTTTCCGTGCTCTTGGGTGTATTTTCAAGATTATTCCGAGGATGATGAGAGGAGTCGAACCGAGTACCAAGAGACGAGCCTTTTCAATGAATTTCGAGTCATTGCCGAGAAGTTTCGAGCCAATTTGTACGAACCATCTCCATTCCGAGTATTTCGAGCCTTGTTGATCAAATTCCAAAGTAGGCCTCTCCCGCGACCTCGCGCCGCTTCCGGCGCCTCGCGGACGCGCGGTGCCAGTGACCCAGAGCCACTCGCGAGCACGCGAGGTGTCCCGCGACCACGAGAGCACCATAGTCCTACGCCCGCGCCTCGCGGATATGCTGGCGACGTCGGGAGTGTCTTCAATTGATCGTCCGCACTCGCGAACCTCCGCGGCATCGAGAGTGTTGCCTCTGCCTCGTGCCACCTCGCGCCGAGCCC